TCATAAAAATTAGCATATTAATTAATGATGCTTCAAATAATGTAACATCAAAGTGCAAGCATATACTATGATTTATCAAGCAATAAAGTGGATACAAATTAATGCACCAAGTATCGCATCCACAAAGAGTATTATTACTCAAAGAATTTTCATAGCATTAAGTAAGTAAAATAACATTATTGTGTAGGCGATGATGTGATCAAAGCAATAAAAATATAATAACTAAAATAAATATGTGAATAAATTTATGAAGGGATGAAGGGAATCACAGTAGTAGAAATTAAAATAATGGATTTGTTCGAGCTAAAGATTAGGGTATCATTAAACTCAATCATATAATTAAAGATGTCATAGTAATAAGATCGATGAGTCTATCTTTAACTTAGCATGTTTTCTTCTCTCTATGGCTCCACCCAAAAACTCACAAAAATTTTATATCTCTATTATCACTTATGGAAATTTACTAAGTATGCTACAATAATCGGTTATCTAGATCTCTCTATCTAAAATGTTGCTCTCGCAATCATTGATGCTCTGAGAATGGTACTCACCTCTCGATGCAGTACTCACATAATGCCACTCACCTCTCAATGCAATAGACTGGGCAATTATATATCTCTATACTAATAACCTTAATAAAACCAAGCGATCACTAATTGAATCATTGGAAAACATAATTAAATGTGTCATTCATAAAATATATTTAAAATCATAAGCATCCAAGGTTTAACAAATCCCACACCAGTTAAAGGGTATTTCAACTAAACAAAAAAATAAAACTCCCTCTCAGAATTATTTTATTGTTGTTGTCGTTGATGCTCTCGTCGATCACTAGCCACCACCTCTCAGTGCTTTAACTTTTGCCTTCACGTCCAACTGCTGCTATTACCTAAGTCGCCATGACTAACGATGGAGAAAAGAAAAGAATATAATAAATCCCTAAAAAGATCTCTTTAATTCAGTGCAATCTCCTCCTTTATATATTAATTAAAAGCCCTAAAAAATAGAATTTTAGTCCGCATTAACTTGAGAATCCTTTTCCATTTATACTTCTTTATACTTTTCAATCATTTCCATATTAGTACTTTGTCCAATATCTTTATGCCCGCGCAATAATTGCTAAAACAACGACCCAACAATCTTGCCTCATAGCAACTCTCACCAACGTTTGTAGCATCAAAGAATGTCACAACATCAAGGTAACATTATCACATTAAAAAAATCATAATTAATCCAAAATTACCAACTTTTCCCTACAGTGCATGTAATGCAAAATTAATTAAAAACACTATAATATGATCCTAATATGCTAAAATGAAAACATAAACCTAAGTAGAAAAGTCTTAAATAATAATTCTTCTGGAGGGTTATAAATTAACTCTGGAAATCACTTTTATTTTGCAAACTCACTTTTGAAAGCAATGATAATTCAAGATCATTATCAAAGTGGATCTTTAATCGTTGAAGCACAAAAAGGAACTAAGATTAAGAAGTTACCTTGCTAAAAATGGTGAAAGAAAGATTAAGAATATAAAGGAAATAAAGTAGAAGAACAATCAATGGCAACACCAAATGGAAAAGATGATGGGCGACAATGGTAAAAAACAAAGCAAATAGAATTTAGGAAAGAAATCAAGAAAGATGTGAAAAAAATCAGCAAGCAATTGGATAGAAATGGAGAAGGAAGAATTCATCTATGGAAGGTTTTTACGATAAAATTGGGAGAGCTACAATTGTGGTTGGATGAAGAGAATGAACAAAAATGAGAACGTAGTTACAAATGAAAAATTAGAAAAGAATTATGATAATGAATCTAGCTAAGAATTAAGGAAAAGGGAGAATGAACCTTACAGTTACAAAAGGAGGGAATGATGAAGAAATATAAGTCTTGGTAAAAATAGCTTCATAGATTTTGATATTTGATCCTTTTACAATTTAGTCACTAAAATCAATATTTCAATTTATTCAACTTAGTCACTTTATATATCTATTTTTTTAGATTTTTAAAAATCATATTTAATATTAAAAAACCATTTAAACACTTCCCAATAATATTTATAATTTTAGAAATCGAAAAGTAATATTTTATCAAAAATCCCAAAAATTTCCCGATTATCGACCTGAACTATTAACCAGATTTTGGGACGTTACACCAACAAATTTAATTTTGAACTCCACGTGGTCTTTATACCTATCGCGTAAATCCAAAACTTCTAGCTCAAAATTTGGGGTGTTACATGACCAAAATGAATAAATTAAAAGTTTAGTGGCTAAAGTATAAATTGGGAAAAGTTTAAGGACCAAAATGGAAATTTTACCCAAATAATGGAATTTTCTTGTAACTCTAGTTTTTCGTACAAAGATTGTTTTAAAATCTATAAAGCGATAAATTTTGAGAAAAATTTAGATAATTGAATCGAATAGTTGAGATATTTTGAAGGATGTTAAGGAAAGGATAATTATTTCATTTTCATGCTTTAAAGTGGTAGAATTTAACATGGACCGTTGGATTTATGTTGATTCTCCATGTTGAGATAATAATTTTGGAAAATTACTAGGGCAAAGTTGTAACTATTATTTTTTTGGTTTATTTTTTTACTTTTGGATGAATAAATTAACATCTGGAAAGTTATGGAACATGTGATTTCAAGGGAAAATTGTCCTTTGACATTTAAATGAATGTTTAATTTATTTTAATTTACATAAAGGATAAATGGCCTAAAATTTTCCCTTTAAATCATTTGTAAAACCATCATTTAAAGACCATTAGGTAAAACGTAACTTAACATACTCATTTAAGTTTATAAATGAGAGCTCCTAAAATATACATATAAAGGTCTACGAATATAACATGACATCTAGAAAAAAAATACTCAAGACGTACTCTGCTGCTGGTAGAGTTGCCTTGAAATTGTACTTCAAGATAGCTTCTCAAGTGCTCCTCCTAAGGACCTGCGCACAGAAAAAATTCCTAATGCTAAGCTCACTAGCCTAGTGCCACACTAACATTAAACCATACTAAAAGTGTTTATTAAATTCTCATTATATCAAGTACACTAAATAAAGTGAGTATAATCGTATACTGCACACTACTCTTGGGTAGATATCATGGTGTGGTCAGAGGGTTACTCATTGATATCTTTCCAAAAAAGGTTTTCTTTTATGATCCTTTTACCTAGGATAAGTTTGAAATTTAGCATCATTAGGAGCATATTAGGATCATTTGTACATACTTTTCCATTATTTGCATCATGGGAATTAGTTAAGGCACTTAGGGCTGGTTTTGCGTTATTATTGAAAAATGATATGCTGATTCTATAACATTGTTTGAAGCTACAAAAATTGTTGTACAGAGGCTGTATCAACCGACGACTCATCAAGCGGTTAGCGAAAACTTCTAGAATTGACAGTTAGAAGGGGCAATTGTCAAATGGTCAAAAATTTCCTGAAACTTGGATGATATTAATTGGTTGAAGGATGAAATTCTTAGCCTATAAATTGGAGAAATCTTTGCATCATTTGATATCATATTTTTCAACCTAAGTTATTTTTATCCTTTACTTTCGATCATCCATGATAGCTTAAGTCCCTCGCAAGGGAGAACAACAGCAGCCTGGGAGCTTTGTTGACTAGCATTTAGTCAGTTAAGAAAATTTATTTTCTAATCTAGATCTTCGTTAGAGATAGGGAAATAACAAGTAGACTTGACTATTATTTAATTCTATGGATACTATTTTGGGATATAAACTTAGTCATTTGTGGAATGTTTTCATTTATGTTTATATCTTCACTTTATGATATACGCTACTACACTTTTGAAGATAGTTTTAGAGATACAATTATTTTCATAAATGTTTATTGATGGTATTTATAGATGAAAATCATTAATAGATGTACTAAATTTGTTCACCATTGGTTTGCTAAAACACAAGTTTGCATGTGAGATATGTCATGGCCAATATCTTGCATTATTAATAATTTAATTGATTAAGTGAATAAGAGTTGATTTATGTCTATTAGATAGTGTTAATGATTTCTAGATGCATAAAATTTTAGTTCATGACATACTGGTAATTGAAATTACCAAATATCTTCCAAATCCATTCAATCCTTGACCTATTTCTCTCAACAATGCTGCACCACTGCTAAGTGTTTCTAATATTGAATTTTATATTTAGCCACTAGATTTTTTCTAATTCTCACAACTTAAATATCTTTTCATACCCCTTTTAGCATAATGCTATCTTTGGGTTCGATACTCGAACCTTTCTAGCTTTCACTTTATTGCTTGATTTACGACATGTGCACTTACGGTTAATGTTGTATCAATTTTGTAGCATCAAATTTTTGGTGTCGTTATCGAGGAGCATTGGTTTTGTGTCAGATTTATTATTTAATTTTCTTACTTTTTCCTTTCTTTTTTTTAGGTACCTATTTGAATTAGTAGTTTTGTTGGTGTATGTCTCATACCGAAAGTGAGCTAGAACCCTTTAATCCTGAAATTGAAAGAACATTCATTTGCCATCAAAGACAAGTTAACCTTAATCAATCAAACATGGTTGGATGAGGTAGAGGTAATAATGATGTACCACCATTACCACATGTTGATAATAAAGAATTGTTGGCTTGCAATGGAGTTGAGCGATAATAATATTATAACATAGATGATCGAAATCGGCCTATTCGGGAGCAATTTGTGCCAACACTAGTTGATTTTCATCTTGGAATCAATAAATTTTAAGTTGAAACCAGTGATGTTTCAAATGTTAAAACCCATAAGGCAATACAGTGGTTCATTCATAGAATATCCTCGTGTGCATCTTCGAGTGTTTATGGAAGTGTGTGACTTGTTTGTTCAATAAGGAGTCCCTAAAGAAGCACTGAAGCTGAAGTTATTTGCCTAATAGCTTAGAGATAAAGCTAGACCGTGGTTGAATTCACTATCACATGGTGTTATAGAATCTTGTAATGAATTAGCATAAAAATTCTTAATGAGATCCAATCCACCAATTATGATGTCTTTCAAGAAATTAGAAGATGATAATTTGTATGAGGCATGGGAGAGATTCAAAGATTTTCTGCTTAAATGCCCAATGCATGGATTTTCATATTGAACATAAATGGAAATTTTCTATAATGAGTTGAACATGCAAACTCGTATGGTGGTTAATACTTCTTCCAATGGAGCATTGCTAGATAAGACGTGTAATAAGCCTTATGCTATTCTAAAAAGAATATCTAACAACCATTATCAATACCTTAATACGAGGAACTTGTTTGGCAAACACAATTTTGCAGCAGTAGATACTGATGCTTTTAATTCCATGGCTTCTCAAATCATAGTATTGACGGACATGGTGAAAAAACTACAAAAGCCAAGGGTATATATGAGGTAAAAATCATATCTATTTTTTCTTATGTATATGACGGTGATGATCACATCTATGAAGAATGTCCTCAAAACATCGAATATCTTTATTATGTGAGGAACTACAATAAAAATGATAATTCCTATGACAACACTTATAATGCCAACTATTACAACAATTCCAATTTTTCTTGGAGAAGTTAAAATGTTGCTAATCCAGAGCAACAACATTACAATCAGCAGTAGATCCCCAGCCTTAATTACATCAACAAGCAGGACAACCACAAAAATCCTAGAATTATCAAAGACAATATTCTACATAAACTACCAATCATACATCTCTTAAAGCATAAATGAAGGAATATATGGCGAGTCAATCAAAATCATTGAGAGCTCTAAAAAATAAAGTTGGCTAATTGACGAATGCTTGGAGTTGTAGGCAACAAGGTACGCTGCCTAGAGACAATGAGAGTCCAAAGTAGTAAGGGAAAACCCAATGCAATGATAATTACAAGGCCATTACAACTCGGAGTGGTCTCCACATTGGAAAACCTATTGAAGAGCCTAAAAAATGGACGATGAATTGGTTACACGACTTCATAAGGTCAAGAACATAGATCTGGATCTTGAAATGCCCACGACTTATGTTATAACAAGAGAAATAGGACAGTGTAGTAGTTTTGGGCCATTACCAGCAGCAGTTCCTGCCACACTATTGGATGTCTCGCCATCTTAAATTCCAGAGTTGTAATGCCCCAAATCCTTGTTTAGTAGTTTTGGGTTAACGCAAAATTGTTTAGGCAAGACTAAGTACCTTATAGTAGTGCTTGGTCCAGTTAGAGTTAGATTACGCTTGGTTTGTAGATTTCAAAAATGATATTTTTAAATTGAGGATGAAAGTTGAAGGACTAAAATTTCAATTTACCCATTTTTCAAAACAAAAGTTAAAAACCCATTAATTTTAAGTGATCATGCATGTCCTCTCATTTCTTACCAAACACTCAACTTGGTCTCTTCCTTCATCTTCTTCTCCATTTCCTTCTTTTCTATGACTGAACAAAGGTGGAAACTTTTAGAATTACAAGCTTAATGTGTATTTACCAAGGTAAGAATATTCATCATCATCTCTCATGCTTTAATTTAAGCCTCTAAGCTCGAGTTTTCCCCATAGAAACCAAAAATGGGTTTTGGTGAGGTTTAAGAATCTAAGTGATTTCTAGCCCGTTTTTAATGGATTTGAGTTATAAGAAGTGTATTTAACTTCAATCCAAGCTCATAGATGAATTAGTAACTCATTTTCTTTCCTTTGATTAGTGAAAGAAGTGTGAGAGAGCTCAAAGGCTAGAAGAAAAGAGAAATTAACCCTTGGATGATTTGAGGGCATTCCCATCAGCTAGGAGACTAAGTAACACATTTAAAACTATTTCATATCATTTGTGAGTCATTAGAATGCATCCTAGGTAGAGAGTTAAGTTATAAAGCATTATTGAGCATCAATGGTAGATTATTTTTTAGTGTTTTTAGTATAATTTAAAGTATTCTTTATTATCAATATATCGCACATAAGGCGTTAAAATGGTTGGGGACATTAATTGGGCATCTTGGGTAACTTTATGGGTCATTTTTGTGCCCAAGCATGGTATTTCAGGGTTTTGTTATCAGTATTAAAAGAACAATCTGATATTGTTCTTGCGAAGAACAAAATGAGGGAATTTCTATTTAGTAGCATTGATACACCTTCAATGAGTATGAATACCATGGGTAGAGTATATATACTCCCTATAGGAGTATGATACCAATGTATTTTTCAAAACATGAAAGTAAATTTTGGTATCGGTACCCAGAGAGAATAGATACCTAGCACTGGAGTATCTATACTAGCCAGTAGTATCGATACCACTCATTATTTTTAACTTGTTTTAACCCTCAATAATCAAGAGAGAGCATTGTTACGATAAAAAAAATTTGTCAATAAGCCCAAAGAATTTTGGAGTTGTGTTGAGGGACCCAATAACACTAAAATACCAGCGAATAAGACTACGAGTGAGAACCATAATTGGTATGCAATTATAGAAAGAAAAAATATCAATTAAGAAAACATAAAACAAGCCTTTGTTAATTCTTGGGAAAATAAACAGAACACCCGATTTACTTTAGAAAATGACAGTATCTTCAGTGTATAGATTGTTCGGATATTCTTAGGTAGTGCGTAAGACACTTGAGACTAATTAGGTCGCAAGGGCAAAACACCCGCAAGGGGTGGGTTAGTTGGGTGATGTATCCGATGTAGAGATTATGGGTCTCACCCTAGGTAAGCGAGAGGAGTGTATTGAGATGTGTAACACTCCGACCATATATGATATCTACCCGATAATATTGTGAAGTTTATGAGTGTACTCACTCTTTTATTATAATTGATAGCATGAGCATTGAATAAACACTTTTAGTTATTATAATTTGGTTTCGTGTGTATGTTGTTAGAATGAGCATACGAGGAGCATATCGTTTAGCCGATATGCTAGACAATCCGAGCAGTAGAGTATGTATTGAGTCACTTCTTTAGAGGAAATGTATTATTCATAGACCTTCATGTAGTTGATTCGTAACTTTATTTTGTAATACTCTATTGTATTATTTTGATATACCTATTTTGTGAGCTACCCGATGTAAACCTTATTTAAACTATGTTGAATTTATTTATCTTGAAATTGTATTACTATTATAATTTACAATGGTTTAAGATAAAATTTTTGGTTTGCCACTCTGGTGGTCCTGTGTGGCATTTTAATCGGTCAACTTCGTGTAGTAGCGATTTAGGGTGTTACAACAACAACCAAATATAAAGCTTCCTCCACCATTTCCTCAATAATTTGAGAAGACCAAGGAAGTTGAAAAATTTAAAGCATTCATTGATGTCCTTAGAGAGTTAACAATCAATATTCCATTGATCAAAGCGTTGGAGCAAAATCTGAACTACATTAAGTTCATACGAGAAATTCTTTCAAAGAAATGCAAACATGTAAAATTTGAAATTGTTGCACTCACCAAGGGATGTAGTGTTATGGCCACAAGTCAATTTCCACCTAAACTTAAAGATCCAAGGAGTTTTAATATTCCTTGTATTATTAGTGATCAGTTTGTAGGAAAAAGATTAAGTGATATAGGGCATCCTAGTGGTGTTCTAATGTCATTGTTGAGATATAATGGTTCAAGTGGACACGTTTATTTTTTCAACAGATTTCATCATTTTGGATTGTGGAGCCGACAAGGATATTCCCATCATACTTGGTTGACCTTTCCTTACCATCGACCAACCATTAATTGATGTTGAAAAGGAGAACATATTATGCATTTGAATGAAGAAAACCTTACTTTTAATGTTTTGAATAATGTTTCTTATATTGATAATAATGTTGAATGTTATTCGATTGATATCATTGATATGTTCATGCAGGAACTTTGGGATGAATGCTTCATGCAAGAACTTTGGGATGAATGCCACAACATGAATAATGCTACCAGTAATGTTGTGACAATTGACGATATAACTGAGGATGAGGAAGTCAAAGGCAAATATATGTAGCATTTTGAATCCTTGGAACTTCACGACTGACCTAATCAGGTTCCAAAGTCGTCGATTCAAGAGCCACTCATATTAAAATTGAAGCATTTGCCCAAACACTCAAAGTATGCATATCTTGGAGATAATGAAACTTTACTTGTTATTGTTACGGTAAAGCTTGAAGCACCACAGGAAGTCAAGTTACTCACTGTCCTAAAGCAATACGAGCGAGCGATTACTTGGAGCATCAGTTATTAAAGACATCAGCCCATCATTTTGTATGCATAAACTCCTACTGAAGGACCCCAACAGTAGTTCTATTGAACAACAAATATGGTTAAATTTGATCATGAAAGAAATGTTTCAGAAGGAGATCATTAAATAGATGGATACTAGAGTTATATACATGATCTCGAGCATCAATTGGGTAGGCTCTGTATAATGCATTCAAAAAATAAAGGCATTACTATCATGACGAATGACAAGAATGTGTTAGTTCCAACAAAGACCACTACTGGTTGGAGAATCTCTATGGACTATATAAAGCTCAATAAGGCTACAAGGAAATATCACTTATTGTTTCCATTTATAGATAAAATGTTGGATCATCTCACCGAATAAGCTTTCTAGTATTTCTTTGATGAATATAGCGATTATAGCCAAATAGCTATAGCCATTGATGATCAAGATAAAACTACTTTTGCCTGCCTATATGGAACATTTTTCCTTTCAACGAATGCCATTTGGTATGTGTAGTGCTCCAGCAAAATTCCAGCAATGCATGATGGTAATATTCTCTGACATGATTGAAGACTACTTAGAGGTATTTATGAATGATTTTTTTATGTTTTTGGGCAAGACATTGATCAATACCTCACTCATTTTTCTAATATGTTGAAACAATAAACCAATTTAGTTTTGAACTGGAGAAATGCCACTTCATGGTGACTGAAAGTATAGTGCATTGGCATCACAATTCTCATCGTGGTATTGAAGTAGATAAGGCTAAAGTGGAAGTTATTGAGAAGTTTCCACCTCCCACTAGTGTGAAATTAGTTAGAAGCTTCTTAGGACATGCTAACTTTTATTGAAGATTCATCAAAGATTTCTCATAGATTATTAGACCATTATACTCATGTTGGAGTTGAATAGGAAATTTTTTGTGGATGATTAA